TAGAGCGCTTAGCTACGAACCCGGCGACCAGAGTTCGATTCCCGCTCACGGCCAACGCCGGTGATGATAATTATCGGAACCGGTCTTGGGCCTCCTCCCCTCGGTCGGCTCAGCCTCAAATGAGTATCTGGTGTAGCGGTGTGTAGTAAACGTCGCCACTTGGGAGACAAAAGGCGGCCAGGCGTGGGGCTGGCTACCCACCCCCCCCCCCCCCCCCTTGTGTGCCGTGCCAGCCTTCATAGGTGCTGCTCACTAACATCACTCGCCCCAACAGTCTGTTAGAGGCTATGCGGGGGATCTTTGTCTTTCTCATAGCATGGCGAAATCACCACTGTGCCCCCGATCAATTAAGGCATTTATTAATACAACTAAAATACGTATACTCGGACATCGTGTTTTTAAATATAACCTTAAAAAAGCATATTTTGCTCCAAAAGAACATTTATCACCGTAATAAACTTCCATTGTTGTATGTGCCATCCAAGATTTTGAACGGAGCATATTTTAATTGCGTAACGAAAAATGCCCGCCGTCCTTCAATGCATTTCCTAAAACCGTTTCGATTTGTAATGCACTTCTCTGCTCTGTCGCCAATCTGCACCGTAGGACCTAATACGTCATACGTCATCTTCTTATGCTCAAACGTTCGACCATTATGCACACGCCGACCACGTGCGATGCTACATCTTGGTGTGTGCGGTGTTTCAAGGTTGCAAGGTTGTACCCGAGTGTTGCTTTGGCGTGATATTCGACGTTTCGCTCCACGTTCCTGAAGAAGCCACCAGCACGTTGAGCGAAACGTTGAACGTCGTGCCGAGCGACACAACCCAAAATAACATCGGAGAAGCTTGACAGCACAACCGCCGGAGCCTATGCAGTGGCAAGTCTCAGAACGGCTGCTCTTTGCCATTTCCCATATCAGCCAGTGGTCCCTGGTTTTGCGATGGCAAGAGGAAAGTTCATTGGAATTATTGCTGACCTGACCAAAAACAATTAGCCCACCCTCTCGAAGCCACTTCATGCCCCAGTGCACTCCATTCACAGCAGCTCAGCACGCCCATGGGCGCAACAACCGCCCGACGCATCGTTGCACACGCTAAGCTCCACCTCATGGCCACGGTGACCAATCGGCCGAGATAATTTTTAAAACAACCTGAAAGAAAAAAAAAATACAGTTTGCAGATAAAAACTCTGAGCCACTTCAACTCCCATTGGGGTCACTAATGCACAGGTTAGGGGTCAGGTCCTGACTTTAGAAGTCCAATAAACAATCATGAGCTGACCCAGTGATCCCCAACGGAAGTCAAGTGTGGCAGACCTTGAGTCATTGGTCTGAAATATGGCTTATTGGTACCACCGAAGGTGGCAAATGCTAACAATTACTTTCTCAAAGCATTTCATCTGCACGTTACAACCGTGTGCGATAGCAAGCTCACGGTGATAGCTTTATCCGACAAATATTTCATCAAACTGGCATCATAGTATGTTTGTTGGGAGAATATTGTTTTTCAACAAAAAAACGAAATATGATAGAAAGCTTTGACGGAATATGAAAACAAACAGGGAGTGTGTCTAGAAAAGACGCTAAAAACGTTACGACCATGGCACGCAGTGCCCAGGGTGTAACAATCATCCCCTGTGGCTCATCGGCTAAATAAAGACAGAGAAGCCACTGCCTTTATATACCATGACGATAGTAGGGAGGGCGCAACTGTGGCCGGGTGGCCCACATACCTCCCAAATCCAAAGTTCACTCGCGAAAGCCTCCGATCTAACCTCATCAATTGTAAATGAATTACGGTTGCATCATCACATCGGTGAAGCAGAATTGCTGCCCCAAATACCTTCTACGCAACGTAACCATTGACCTCTGAGGCAGTCCACTGCTCATCGCTGAAAAATGTCGGTCTCATCTAGCACTACACTTGTGAAACATCACACAAGTGGCTGCATCGGAGGGGTGTAATGATGCAGTAAAAAAATAACTTGAGAAGAAGTCAGAAACATGGACAATCTCCCTTACAATATGCTGGAGCAGCGAGCGAATAAAACAAGTCTTGACACGTGCGTTAAGTCGTGAGAATCGGATCTTTCATAGCAGCGTCTTCTTGAAATGTGTGGAAAATTTAAAGAAATTCTATTCTCGCATATTCTTGGGTTTTATCGGTAAAGTCACGTAGGTAAAAAATTAAAATTAATAAAAGTTAAATAAAAATAAAAGAAATTGTATTAAATAAAATACATTTTACTTTTAGTAATATTTAATAAAATTTATTTTATTTTTATTAAAACTTTTATTAATTGAAATTGTAATTTTTTACCTACGTGACTTTACCGAAAAAACCCAATAATATGAATCCTTGCAGTCACGAAAGCTTCAAATCTATATTCTCGCATATGATGGCAGGTAAAAGCCAATCTCGAGGTCTGATGGGCACGACGAGAGGGCTTTAGGAGAGAGAGAGAGAGTTTGTGTAGTTTGATATGTATCCTCTGTTGAAGGAGTGTAGACTAACGTTGTTTACCATGTATGTATGTATGTAGAACTTCTTTGGTGCCATATGTACCCAACCATGCTAATCCGTTTAAAGCTTTCGTGACTGCAGGGATTCATCTTCTTGGTTCTTTCTTGGTTCTTTCGGTAAAGTTGCGTTGTGGCCGAAACGTCGTGAGAATTGGTTTATTATGTTTTATTTTTATTATTTTATTACTTCCCTTCTACGTGACTTTACCGAAAGAACCAAGAACATGCTAATCGGATAATAGTTTGGGGTTGCACAGTCATAATCGCAACACTGTGGATTGTCTGTAATTTTCCATTCGTGAAGGGGATGTGCGCATCTTGCCTGTTGATGTAATACATGTGGTATGGCTCGGGATACGAGCCCTCATTACGGCAGATCTGGTGTTGTATGGAACATTCATCTGTAGACACAAGTGTGTCCCAGTGGCGCTGTTGTTAGCGCTCCGTACGATGACACAGTATTCCACCAACCGTCACAAACTGGTGTGGAGTATTAATTCCTGCGGTCACGAAAGTTTTAAATCAAAATTTAGTGTGGTAAGGTTTCGGTCAAAATCACCTCCGATGAACGACAGCATGATAAGGCCTTCATTCCAGCAGTGGATTGGCAAAGGGGCTGTATTTTATGAGATTGTTCATCAAGAAAAAATAACCCATTACATTATTTCTATTTTATCAGATTAGGCCAACTGAGCTATGTAGCTCTTTCTCAGTAGTGACCTGGCCACAAACGATAGCTCAACGAAGTGGCTTATCAAGTGGAAATTCATAGCAGACAATGAGTCTGAATGTATGTTTTCAAATGTGAAGAGTAAGTCCGGAGGACCCGGAGAAAAATCCACATGACCATGGGGAAAACATACAAACTCTAAATACAGGTATTATGAGGGTCGGAATCGAACCCATGGCTTCTGCATACCAGGCGAGATAATAAAGAGCTCACCACCGTGAATTGAGGGATATGTTTATAAAAACAACATACATTCCCACTTAAGGAAGATTGATTTTTGAACTCCCTCCCATCGTTTCTTTTACCAAGTTCCAAAAAAACTCGTGCTTGATTCCATTTTTTTTTAATGTGTTCGTTCTCATCTGCTACACTCGCAACGATGCTCCGTGTTGTCGGCTTCCCCAACATCCTCTCATCATCCGTTCCGTGTTGGATGCCTTTGGGCCTGTGCTCCGTAACTGCGATAAGGAAACAAAGATTCATCTCTTCGATCTGTGAACCCATTAAGGTCAGCTTTTCATAGTGAGGTCACACATCAAAAGGAGTAGTCAGGCAATGGCTCATTGAGCCACGCGAAAGGTGCACGGCGCACAAGAGAATGACAGGTACTTTTGCTACAGGATTTGCAACCACAATGCTTCGTAACAATAAAGGCCAATTATGGCAACAACCTGCAGCATGGTAAGACACACCATTACTGTGGAAATCGACGGCACGAAATGGGCAAAGATGCAGCGGCTCTCAATGGCTTGATTGAAATATTACACATAATGGGATAACTTTAGATGTGGTGCAATATTTATTTGTGAAATAATTTATCTTGGAATGCACGCAGCCTCCCTTGTCTCTGTTATCGCATTGTTGTTTCTGTATTCCTGTGACCATGACATCGCCACCCTGCAAACGAATTCCTCGTTTGCAAAAGACTGTTAGACGTCGATTAAATGAAGGTCTGGAGGCCTACAATACAAACTATTTTTTGTTATTATATTGACAGCTGAGAGATCTAACAAGTAAATTAGCTATTGATTATCAAACTTACTCCAACAGGGTATGCGCCTACATCATCAAATATGGACAAAAAGGAATTTGGGAGTATCCTGGGGAAAAAAAACACAAGAGGATAACACTCAAAGCTCCGCAGATGGATTCAAGAATGCTCAAGGTGCACCGCCATCTCTTAACCACCCCATAGAGGCCAGCACGTTTGGGAGTTTCACAAATCCACTCGTATGTGCCTCCAAAGAGCTGGTTTACAGATGTGCGCCACCACGCCCAGCTTGACAACTTACAAGTGTGACAAAGACAAAGATCCTCTGCCCCCCTCATTCGCTTATAAACTGTTGGGGCAAGTGCTGTTTGCAAGCACCTATTAAAGGTTGTGATCAGCACCATGCTGGCCACCTTCATGCTGATCCTTACACACCATGTCAGGCACTCATTAAAGGCTTAGTTGACCTAGCGGAGGCCCAGGACTGGTTAATAAAATCGCCACACAGTGTTAACCGTGGGAAGGACTCAAAAACTCTGGTCATCAGGTGCATAGCAGTGCGCTAATCACTGCGCCACTGCTCTATCGATGAGTGCGGCAACAAGACAGTGACAAAGATCCTCCAGTATAGCCTTGACAGACTATTGGGACAATAAAAGCTGTTTAGGTATGCGGTTGCTGGGCATGCAGGCTACATGACCCAGTGCGACAACACACACACGCACACACATCGATAATGAGGAGATGAACGTCACCTTCGCACTTGAGGCCTTGCCGCACCAGGCCCCACAGCATCTCTCCGCAGTGGTCGCAGAAGGTGGGCGCCTTGTACGAATGCACGAAGAGGGCATGCGGCCGGATTTGGAAGTCCTCCTGGGTGGCCGAGGCTGTGGAGCGCAGGGAGGGAGCACACACAGGCGGAGAAGTCAGTACCCACGCGACAACGTCAAATGCCATTTTAAACTTTAAACTAAAACTCTTTTTATTTTACCAATTAAGGCCCACCGAGCTAGATAGCTCTTTTTACAAAAGTAACCTGGCCGCAAATTATAGCTCAACGGAGTGGCTTATGACATGGACATTTATTTCAGCCCAAAACTCTAAACGCATGTTTCTAAATGTGGAGGGAAAACCCAGAGGACCCGGAGAAAAATCGACATGACCGTGGGGAGAAAGACATGCAAATGGAAAAATATACAGGCATCGTCAGGGGTCGGGATCGGACTCACGACCCCCTGCATACCAGGCGAGGTAGTTAACATCTTGCCACCATACCACCTCATTCGCTCCCACAGCTGGGCCTGCCAGGAGGTTCGAGTGGAACCCTCACACAAAGATGAAGATTGCCATCGCAGCCACAGCTGTTGATGGCCCCCCCACACCGCATCGCCAACACCTGCCACCTTCTGCCAGATCCCGTAGCAGCGCAGAAGGCAACTTGACCTCCTCCATGATCTGTCCTAAAAGTATCCCACCACCGACTCCGAGGTATTCTGCCCGCTCACAAACTCAAAATGGGAGGATTGGTATCGTTTCATTACCGCACCACACATTCAGTTCATCTCAGGAGTTGCAAATATGCATCTACCATGTTACTCTATTCAATGTATGTACATTGTATGTATGTTGAACCGTGCTAATCGAACGTGCATTTTAGCAGCCTTCAAATTAGATGTATTTGTTGTTGTCCTGAGTTTTTGTGACCCCTCTCATGATAAAGAGGTGGGGGGGGGGGGGGTAAATCTACCGACAGTGGTTAGGAGTTCGGAGAGAGGGTTCATTTTTTTTGTCGCATGCCTGGGTTTATGGTGGCCCTCTCTCCGAGCCCACCCTTTGGAAAACGAAAATCAAGAAGCATGGAAAAAGCACGTGGAGGGAACGCATTTGGAGAGACGCGTAGCAATGGAAGCATTCCATGGAACACGAGGTGTATAATGGAGCTTGGGGGGAAAAGTTGCGTGGAAAAAGCGACCCAACGTGAAACATAAAAAAGTTCCCTGCTAGAATTTGGAAACATCGCACACAGAATGAGTAATGCGAGAACAAAGTGAAAGGGAATAAAGGCAGCCGCACTGCAACGGTTTTTGGACATTTTTGCCTCTCTTAGGACACCTTCAATATGTATGTATGTATGTAGAACATCTTTCACACCGTACGTAGCCAACCTTGCTAATCGAAGCTGCGTTACTTTTGGTTTGGCCGTCCCGAGTTTCGGACATCTGCATCGCAAGAATCCTGAACGCGGTCTGGTGTGACTCGGGAAACGGTTTTTGAACACGATGGTTGTGAAGGTATTCAATTTATTAGCTTTTCCAAACGTTATCTTTTTTATTTGATTCATACGCTCGTTTCTTCACGAGGAAAACCGCATGTGTTGGCTTTCTGCCCTACGTGACAGTTGTGCCGCCACTTGTGTCACGGGTTTGATCCATTTTGTTTTGTCATTGCGAATGATGGGAATTTGTTTTCAATGTGATGTTGTGTTTTAAAGCTACGTGTGGTGGCAAGTACAGTTTCTGTAAGGCACAACTATACGTCAGGAGCTTCTGCTTGATATACACCTTGCATTTTGTAGATAACGTGAGCCAAAGCCGATAGGGAAGCAGCGATATACAAATAATTCAATGGAATACGTATCGCTCTCTGTGGGAGGTACAGATACTCAAATTTTAAATGTGGCAGGGAATTTGTCCGTGAAATACGAAGTGACGATTCATACGGGGAACGAAATATTATAATCAGAATATTTATTTATACTGAAGGAATCCGATGAGCTATAAAACTTTTTTTCACAGATGTCCAGTAGGGGGGGGGGGGGGGTTAGAACGTTACAACAAAAAAACAAATACAAAAACACGATAGGAGTGGAATGTATAGGAAAGGTAAGCTAATAAAAAGCACACATATATTAATAAAAATATACTATTTTATTTCAGCAGGTAAAGCCCAGAGCGATTAGCTTCTTTTTCAGAAGCAAACTGGCCACTAACGATAGCTCAACGAAGTGGCTTTATCACGTTGAAATGTAGAGCAGCCAAAAAACGAAATAATCTACGAGGCCGTCAAGAGGCTGCGAACCCACGGAACACAAATCAAGGACAAAAGAAACCGGGAAAACAAACAATGAGTCATTATCAGCGGCACTAGACCATGCGCTGCGACCATGCGCAATGCGTGGACTTATCTGATGTAAAACCGGCGTAATCGCGGGTTTGGAAGGCATTAAGCACATTCGTCTCGAGAGTGAGGCCACGGGCTACGCTCGGACGCGGACGTGTGGGACTTGTTGCCGGGAATAAGAACAACAAAAAAATTAACCCGTAAAAACAAAGTTTTTCACTATAAATCCTTTATATGCGTGGCGGCTAGAGTCCTCTCGTCCTCTGGCTTGAGATGGCTGCCACCTATGGGTCAGATGATTGCATGGCAGCATTAAGCAATTGGTAATTAAATATAATTTTTTTGTCCTAAAAAGTGTAACATTTTGGAAAAAAATTTTCACGAACATTAATTGTCACGCACAATGAGTCTGTGTGGAAAGTGTCAGCACGATTGGATAACAGGAAGTGGGTTACCAGCAGCAGCAGCATAGAGCTTGTATTGCGTACACACAGTGGTCACCCATCCAAGCACAATCCGGGCTCAACCGTGCCCCGCTTTGGCATCCAAGATCTGACAAGAACAGGCGTATTCAGTGCTATTTGGTCTCAGGCCGTATCAAGTAACACCACGGCAGCAACACCTGAGCCGCTGTTTATATTTCCGACGCTGCCGACGCGTCTGCCGCCGGTAAACACGCGCGCATAGCACGATGCCCTTTGCGCGTTGGGAGAGCTAAAGGCGGGATGCGAAATCACTATTCATGGCGCACGCTGGCGCGGTGCCGGTTACCGCGACTCCACGCAGAGCGGCGATGCTTTAAACACACCGGGGTCTCGCAGGAACGGCCGGGCACACAGGTGGTAAGACGCAGTGCGCGGACAAATGACGGTTAGCATCTATTTTCTGTGCTTGTTTATTTTTTTTCCCCGTCCTCCTCCTCCTCCTCTGCCGCCAACTAAAATAAGCATCGCGCGCACCCCCCCCCCCCCCCCCCACTGCTCCCACTCATCGAATACTTTCTGCCCCGTGTAGACTGCCCGTGCCCAATTGAAGATGGCAAGGAATTAAATTAATAATCTCGTTTACCTTTGAAAACAGTTTTGGACATTATTGATCTTTTTAGAAGGACCTAGCATCCCAACTAAAATGAAATAATCAGAAGGCATGAATTATTTATGGGCGAGAGAGAGAGCAAAGCCCCCTTTCAAATGCAACAGATAGAGCGTTTGAAATCCGGCTAAGCACTATGCTGCTGGGTTCATATAATCCTTTAAGATTTTTTTTTAATTCTCAAGCAGCTCGGCACTGCAGCCACAGCCACACACGTCGTGTGCCTGTCTGAGCCGAGCCATCGTTTGCCTGCATTGACGTACGTCAAATGCAGCTGTCATTTTCGCCAAAATCTGCGATCCCCCCCCCCCCCTTTAACCGCACCTCTGATTAGCACGGTTGGCTACGTACTGTGCGAAAGAAGTTAAAAATAAAAAAAATACATACAAGGGTAGCATGTTAACAGCACTTGGTCCCAAGTGATGGGCGAACGCCGCTCAGTAGGGATGGGCGATGGCCTCCATTGCCCTCAGCTGATATGAAAGGGCACTGGGTTTTTCTGATCCCCGAAACCACCACGGCGGAGACGGACGCAACGCCTGCTGCAGGGCGCCTGCTACGGGAGCGCAAACGAGCCCGGAGAAGCCGACAGGGGACCCCGGGGAGAGTTTTCCACCAACGTTCGTTGATTTATTTTGTCAAGTCTCTGGCCAATTGCCTGGCGCAGCTTTAATTGTGTTGTCAGAGTTTGGATATTTCACGACTTCTTCCCGTCAATTACAGAAGCCAAGTGTGAATTGCTCGATACATAGCACCTATGAAGGCCGGCATGGCACACGAGGGGGTGGGGTGGCCAGCACAACTGGCCTTTGTCTCTCGAGTGTCAATATTTACTCACCACACCCGGTACTCATTTGAGGCCGAGTCGAGCTAAGCGCAGGACCGGTTCAAATATTCGCCTCTGTTATTGATCAGGAGCGGGAATTGAACTCGGGTTGCCGGGTTTGTAGCACTCCCCACGAAACCACTGCTCGTCACAAACTTACATGCTTTCACACACACATGCACACTCACGTATTCAGGTGCACACACACACATTCATGGGTGCGTGCACACACACAAATATTCAGGCACAATATTCGAACTCATTGTGGCGTTAACGGTGGTGGTGGGATCACGGACTGCTCATGGTGCAGTTAGCCGATCCTCTCATTGATTCCGCTCAAAACGATGCCCTTTGAGGCACAGCGACTCCGTGAGGTCAATTATCCTCTGTGCTCCACGAGGAACTTCACGGCCCAGGTCACCTCACCCCCAACCATAAACACTGGGCTCTGTGCCCCCTTCCCCCCCCCCCCCCCCCCCCAGGGGGCCTTCACCCAAAAGCCATGAGCAACCACCCAAAAGCCATGAGCAACCACCCAAAAGCCATGAGCAACCACCCAAAAGCCATGAGCAACCACCCAAAAGCCATGAGCAACCACCCAAAAGCCATGAGCAACCACCCAAAAGCCATGAGCAACCACCCAAAAGCCATGAGCAACCACCCAAAAGCCATGAGCAACCACCCAAAAGCCATGAGCAACCACCCAAAAGCCATGAGCAACCACCCAAAAGCCATGAGCAACCACCCAAAAGCCATGAGCAACCACCCAAAAGCCATGAGCAACCACCCAAAAGCCATGAGCAACCACCCAAAAGCCATGAGCAACCACCCAAAAGCCATGAGCAACCA